ATTGACTTTACGTTTTATGTGCAAACCAGGGGGTAAGCTTTAAAAAGTTTGTATTAGTCCTTGAACCCTTTTAAAACAAGCAAACAATACCAGAAACTACATGGCATATTTAAAACTTCCATCTGTTAAAATATCAAAATCAAAGAGTTATTGACTAGATATGGCTTTTCATCCAGAGGAACAGGAACATTTTCTAAGTGTTGGGAGTAAGGGGGTAATTTTCACACATCTAGGTCTTGCCAAATCCGGATCAAATGTTTTCCAAACCCTTCACATGATTTTAGACTAGTCAGAGGCTGCTGAACAAGTGTAAATAGCACGTTTAAAATGTGGTTTCTTGGGTCCTTCATGGGTGTGGAATAACACAAGGAAACTTAAGGCAAAGTTCTTCTATTAAGACATTTTCCATCACTTCCTGTGAAAGTACAGGGGCTTGGCATTTCCAGACTCCACCTTTGGTAACTGGTCACTGATGATTTCCACCAGCATGGCTGGAAACTCCACTTTCAGTGCCTGAGACTCTCGGAAGGTGTAGAAACAGAATTCTAACAAGTCACTAACAAGCTGAAATGCAAAAAAGCACACAGGATTATTAGAAAATGAATTGTGCCCACAAATAGACAATCACAGTACTTTGGAATATTATCAAGAAACATCAGCTCTAGTGATTATCTTTTTTCCCCCTGATAATCAGCAAATGGGGAATGGAGTGAAACCAAGATACCATAGGTTTTACTTGCAGAGGTTCTGAATAGCTGCACTTTTCTTTGATTTCACATACATGAAGATTTGATTAAGGGCAAAGGTGTATTTTCTGTAAAACTGCAATTACAATTTTCCACATGGTCGTCTAGGTGAAAGTTGCATTTTACAACTCGTATTTCACAATGATCACAATACTTCAGCCAGCTCTGACCAGGGAGGGCAAGCATGGATAACCTTAGCATAGATCCCTCAAAGAGTGACTTTCTCTGGCTGCCATTTTGAAATCCCAATATAACAGGGCTCCCTTGAACATTTAAAAGAAGAGCAATTTAGGCTAGGATGCCAAAAGGCAGAGACAGCTGTCTATTATTTTGGCAATGAAAAAATATAGTACATCTCAAAGCACTGACAATGCTAATCTGACTGTCTCAAACTTCCTTTTTCACACCGATTTTTCTTCATTGCAGATTAGATTCTTCATTTTGGTTTATACTGGCATATGTGAATACTGTGGCCCCCTTCTTGTAATGTATTTAGCTCCGTCTTTCAGACATTTTAAAATGGGATATTTTTCTCTGTCTCTTGCAATTCTATGATAGAAAATCACAAACTGCAATTTCTCTTTGCTATAGAAGAGATGGGCTGGGGGGGCAACTAGAAAGCTAAAGACACAATTTATTAAATTGTGCATGCCCTTCTTATTACAAACAAATACTAGGTTATAGTAGTAACATCAGAAAAAGAAAGGCATTTCAAAAATAGCAACTGTCTAACAATCTCCTAAAGTCTTACAGTATGTTAAGTCATCTATGATTTCTGCCTTGGACTAACTGACATCACTTGTTAATGGTGTGGACAAAATCACAGAACAGATTTGGGCACATTGTGTTTGCCAGCAAACAAGAAACCTGAATCTTGATCTGAGTTAGCACATTTTCCCACTGCAGTTCATTAAATCATTGTTCCCCAGGGCCAGGCACATCTGGCTTTGTACATTCACCTATCTTCACTGCTTTATGTGCTGCTCCATTGACTAAAAGCTACAGAATATTCCATTTAAAAAAACCTGTTTGTTAGAGCAACTTTAAAGTTACATGACTAAAAGTTTGCACGACTTAATTCTACTCCCGTATGTGCTTGCATTATGATAGACTTTAATTACATGATCAGAAATTTTCTCAAATACCATAACATATTGTGCAAATCTTATGTATGTTCAGATATACATTATTACTGTGTATAATTACTTATGCCATGCAGACCCAAGTAAAACAACACGAGGGAATCATCCTGCAGAGCCCTACATCATTTTTGAGCAGCTTGCACTACTTACTTATATTCCAAGTTTGTAAGAAAAAAAGGTGTATTATATTATATAATGTGAGAGAGTACGTGATCATGTAATTAAAGACTCTATAGCATACATACACACACGTGGGAAGACTTAAGGTTGTGCATGTAATTTGCAGAGCCCTGACTCCTTCAGCAGGTTTTACCTATTTACACAGGGGCATTGCTGATTTTAGCCCATTTGACAGGTATTAGATCAATGGTCTGAATCTCACTTTCTCTTGTTTAATCATTTATGCCCGGGGTGTAAAATATTACTAAATCAGAATTTTCACTCACTTTGGAGGAGAGAGAGAGAAAATAATGTAACTTGGAACTGTTTTCACTCACTTTGTGGGGTGGAGGAGTGAGAGAGAGAGAGAGAGTGTGTGTGTGTGTGTGTGTGTGAGAGAGAGAGTATAATACAACTTGGAACTGTGTTACTTTTCCAGCTAAATTCAGTGGGGCTGGGAGGGAAATAATACTAGGCATCACCTCTCCCTGTATGGACAGTGTGGAGAGGTTGCTGGAGGGTCTGGGGACGGAGGGGAAGTGCCACAGAGATAGCTGAATCTTCCCTTCCACATGGAGGGCCCCTCCCTTTGTTAATGCAGAACATTCAAATACCACACAGGATAAGACTCTGAATAGAATAGTAAAATGTGCCATGAGTTAAGCAAAGTATGTAATGTTCACAGTTCTTTTCAGAAAGCTGGATGTAAACTAACTAATTTGAGTAGCTATTAGCTGACTCAGTCACTTTTCAGCAAAATGATGTCTACCAGCAGGACGCTTGAAATACTGATTTTCAATACAATCCACACTGTATGCATCATGTGGGAAGTGCTTCTCACCAGGTGCATTTTCAGGCTACTAGGCTTTTGCTTGTAAGTGGGCATCATTTTTTTTTGTACTCTGATTTTTTTCCTGGGTTGGATTTATTTATTTTCTACTTGTGTTATAAGCCTCCCCCTGGGTCATGGCTCCTCCTCCTTGTGAATAAAGTCTATTGTATATGTGAAACACACAACGCGAAATGACACAATGGAAAAGAAGAAAGGGCTTAAAGATAAAGGGATAATTAGAAGATTGCTGAACAAAGAAAATCTAATGAAAGGTCTGAGGTTTAAAATGTATCAACATGTTACTGTATATAGAAGTATGAACTTTCTCTAATTCTGTTTTCACTATTTTCGTAATTGTCCTTGCAGATATGTAAGTAATTCTGCAAACAAAGGACAAACTTTACCAGCACAAGTCAATAAGGATCACTTTAATACCAGCTAGAACTTTGCAACGGATAATCGGGGAAGTGGGCTTGTGTTATGTATGCTCCATAAAGATGGTGAAAAACAGCTGATGAGCAATGAGCTAACAATTGAAAATTTTGTGGGTTCATTAAACAGAGATCATGTTACACCATCCTGATTTTATATGTGTGTGTATGTATGTATACACACACACACAAATACCTATCAGGTACACAAAAGTAACATGATGGATGTTTCTCTCTATTTCAAGAAAATATATACTGCTTTTTAATATACACACTTTAAAAAGTTGGAAGAAAGTTGTATAACTGCAAATAGTGTACAGAAAAACACAAAAAAAGGAAATAAAAAGTGAAGGCAACTAGGACCACACATCATACCTGTCTACTTCTCCACCATACACAGACCAGAAGATACAACCTTAACTCTGCCCCTGCAGTGATGATGCCTTTCACCACCCTCTGTCACTCAAATCTGAGCATGTATAGTTTCATGAAACTGAGCATAAATTATGAGTCATTGGTCAGTGGTGGTTAGGGTGGAATCTGCAGGAGGGGTGCTGGAAGACTGGAATACCTATTAGAGATATCTATCGTGCATAGAGGTTGTACTACTAGTTGTCAAGTTTGTGTATCCATCGTGGGGAGGTGAGGATATAAGCTGATTGACTTATTTTCATTTCCTTGCTTTTTAATGTACTAGATATATTTCTGCAGATGAACCTTAACTGCCACACAGCATGGTATTTTGTATATGTTTATAATTTAATCTGGGGACAAAAACTATAGTTGCACCTTTAATAATAAATGAGGGCACACAATCATTAGAATGAACAGTCTTGTGAAGTTGTTCAGTCCCACCAATACAGATATGAACAATCTTAGTGAGAATACCATGGAAGTTGATCCTGCTCAAGGCAGGGAGTTGGGCTGGGTGACTTTAAGGAACTTTTCCAACTCTAGCATCTATGATTCTACAAAATATTTGACTCTACTCTGGTTACCCCTAGTCTCTATACTTAAAAATGCAAGAATCTTGTACAAAAGTGTGAATGTATATTCATTCTAGTGATAATGCTGGCATTTACACTTACAGATAGATACAAACACATTTCAACAAAGTACAATACTTTACCTGTAATTTAAAAATATAGTTTTTCCATCTCACAACTTTGAATTTTGTACTTAGGTGACAGAGGGGGAGAGACTGGGAGTCAGGTGCAGGGGAAATTGGGGTTTATACTAAGACTGGCTAGGCAAGGAGACTGGGATTGGGATGAGAAGCTTGAATAGTGGAGGCAGGCAAGGATAACTGGACTCTGACAAGGACCCTGGTGTGGGGAAGTGACAGGACAGGACTGGGCAGGGACAGGTTTGAGGGAATTAAGCAGAAGGAGTTAAACTCCGGGGAAATGGAAAGAAAAGTCCGTGCCCAGTACAGCACACATCCCTGCCACAGAGTTCCTGTGTAACACACTCACCTAAACCAAACTTTTCAGAGGACCCCAGCCTCACTCAATGCACAGGATAAACCTGCTTTGGGGATGAAGTAGGGTTGTGTAGTAAAGGAGGCTGTTGCCTGTGGGACCCCTGATCCATTTGTTGCAGAAGTGAGAAGGTGTGTAAGAGGAAAAGAAAGGAAAGGAGATTCTCATAGTTAAGGCTGCCGTGGTTAAATTAATTCTATCCCTGCCTCTGCCACAGAGTTCCTGCTAGACAAGTCATTTAACTCCCCCATGCTGACTTAGATCCCCTTACACTGGGATTCACTCCAACCTGTATAAAAGGGAGTCTCTTTTGCAGTAACACACACACCAAAGAGCTGGAAGGCTTATGTTAAACTAGCCCCTTTCTTTAACTTACCCCTTTTACAGACCATCATTTAAATTACAGCAACTGAGATTTAATGAGGTTTGAATTAAACTAAGGGAATGCAAGCAGCTATATATCATCACACTGTGCTGAGAATTTGTTGTTACATTTTATCCCATTTCCTCCCATGGAAGCAGGAGTTTATAATGGAAGTGCTGATACCACCTCTCCTAGAGCTGTGTGAACGGCAACATTCTAATTAAGCAGTGTGAATGAAGGCACCACTGATTTCACAAATAGAGAGATCTTGGACAGAAATTATTTATTTTTACAACCATTAATTGTTAAAAAACTATTAAATTACTAAAGAGTTACTTGGATGATAAGGTTTTGCTTGCTTAGCTGTGAGTATATAGAATAAATAATTTCTACTTCCTTCAAAATTCTTATTAGTTACACTCTTGCCAGAGGAAAAAATAAACAATAGATCACTCCTACGAATTATATGAAGTTGTTGTTTAGCTCACTTTGATAGAATGCAACAAACCTTGCTCCATAAGCACCCCTAAATAAATAAATAAAATAAAACCCAGGTGATGGTGCCTACATTGGGCATTTTATTATAAAGACGGAATTTATAATATTTACTTCAATGTCACCTAAACCACAGTACGACATGAAAAGTTGCTATCCACATAATGAACTAACTATGCTGGCTTTTAAGAGTGATTTAATAATATACCTGGACTGAGATTCCCACTTTACCACATCAATCATTAATGAATAATTGTCATTTCTACCTAATTCATGAAGAGGCAATGTGTTTCACAAAAAACACACTGCATTTAAACATTTTTAAGACTAAAGTAGGCTTATTAAGATTCCTGCATCTTTATGTAACAACAATTACCGTCTCAATAACCAGTCTTCGCATCTGCACTCTATATTTAAGATCTGTGAAATTCGAAAGATTAATCCCCTATTAACTAAATTTCAATTTGTCATTATTTGTTTTTTCTACAAAACTCTCACCTATATTACTCTTCGAATTCAGAGAAATAAACATCATTCCATCACCAAAGACAACACCGTTATGGTGGACCGCAAGCATGTGTGGCATTTTCATGGCAAATAGTCATCCAGATTTCAGCCTTATGATTTTCACCACAACCTTGTACATGCAGGAGTAACAAAAACTGCTTCCGGCTGCAAAGGTGCACATTACCACGCTGAGCTCTTTCCCTACACTGGCAAGATGAGCCAGTGCTTTCACTTAGAAATCTCTCTCAATCTCGGTCTATGGCATGAAATTTTACAGTCACTCCTTGACTCCTCTCAAAGTTTACCTACAGTATCATCATGATTATGACTACATCTATGGAAACCATGATTTCATAATCAACTTAACTAGAACATTAACAAATTCAAATAATGTAAGGCAGTGTTTGGGTAACAGCACAGAGTGAGTAATTTCTCCCTAGGATTAGTTACAATATCAGGGACAAATACAAAGCCTCCGTGTTTTCATGGAAAGTAATTCTCCTCCTGTGAATTCATGACACACTGTATTGTACCACCAATATCAGCTTTTTTTCAGGGAAGTAAAATCTTTGTTCTCACAGCCTGAGCATATGGGAAGATCCACTTCAGCTGTACGTATTCCCTTCAGGAACCATAAATATTAATGATTCAGCAGCATGGTCCTTAAAGAGTTTATTTTTATCAGGCTGAAAATATCAACAAGCAAACAACAGTGCAATACTCATCACGCTATGCCAAAGGGTAGGTTCATGTTAGGGTTTAATGATGCTGCATCGAAACAAAAGTGCTTAGAACTGAAAGTCTGTTTAAATATCAGTCAGACTGAAACTGAACTCAACTTTTGTTTTGAGAATTGCTGAAACATACATTAAAGATTATCAAGATACAGCCCTTGCCCTCAAAGCAAACTTGCTCCAGGAGATGTTGAAAATCCAATGAAAATGTTGATAGCATGTTTAATGCATCTGTTTCTTATGTTCCTGCATGCTAGTTGTCTGATCACACAGAGTGGTTCACCTAAAAACAAGAAGTGACTCTCACTCTCTTTCTCTCAAATACCCTTGGTCATTCCTGGGTATGAGACTGAAATGCTTACCAATTTGGTTAGGAAGTGGAATCAACTAGCCTCACTGCATGATGGTTCTGAACAAACAATGCTGTTTAATGAAATCATTAGAAATTTGCTTATGACAGTCAGAATTGTTAAAAAGAAAATCCCTGAAAAAGGGAAATGAGAATTAACTACGTTGGTCACCACAACACTGATAAAACTGTGAGCGTGTATGATTGTTTTAATGTATTTCAGCTGTCTGATGCATATATCTTCACCTGAGCCATTCAGGAATGACTTTGTTCTTTTGTTCTTCAGTTTTGTTTTCTGTGCTTGGAGGTTTTATGAGTCATTGCTTAAAGTTGCTGATATTTTCAAATACTTTACTGCCTACCTGCTCTTCCTGAAAATTTCTTTTTTCCTCATCTCAGCACTTTTTTGTCTGCACATATGCTCACCACGTGGATGAAAGGCTGAAAGCACTGAGCAGTGTAAAACCATCTCATTGGTTATTATGCTATTCATATTATTTAAGCCAAATACAGTATCATTCAGTATTCAAATTTCTTATTTTATATAGTCCTTAAATAAAGAATATTTAAGAACGAGGTTAAAAAAAGCAAGTCTTAAGATATAAAGAGACTATATGATTGTGTGGCACTACACCCAGGTAAAGTAAACTCCACAAATGATGACATGCTGCCTTGCTCTAATGAAAAAGCTGGAGGCAGCAGCAGGACTGAATAAGCATGAATTCTAGAGAGGTCCCTTCAGGCTTGTGCTGCAAATGCCAATGCTGTATTTGCAGCAGGGATACAAACATGGGATTTCAGCTGTGGTTAGAGCAGTCACAGGACCAAGTATATTCTGATCCTTTAAAATTACATGGAATGAAAGTTAAAATTATACTGGTGACAGCTGAAAAGTATTGACCTGTACTGAGAATTCTGCGCGGGGGGTGGGGGGAGGAATTGCATCTGCATTTCCATGATCAGAGCTGAGAAATTCCACTCCACAGGGGAAAAGAGCAATTCTCATCTCTTGTCAACATTACTGTAAAATTATTCTGATGTGCTTTGTCTAAATTAATGTATCATTTGGCCAATTTTGATATTGAGATTAGTTTTCTTTTGGATTAACACACATCCTTGGGAACAATCTAAGCCAATTCAAGTAAAAAGTAAACTGTAAGGAGAAAAATAAACAAGTGCTTGTCTGGTAAGTTACAAAAAATAGCAGTGTTGGGCAGACAGCTGGCTGTTTTAAAGAGAATACTGACAGCAGGACCTTCTTTAAAAATCTCTTATTAGCTTGCTTATACTAAAATAAAATGTAATATAATAAAAATGGCATCATCCATTCTGATCCTTACTAAAAATTAAGTAGAATACCACAGCATTCTGAAGTGATTTGATCAAAACATTATAGGGTACAATACTAATGCAGTGTTTTGGGTGATTACTGTAGAATATTGTATTATTTTAAATAACTGTAGAATTCTGTCAGCTATTACTTCCCATCTACACAATTCTCCTTATTAAAAAAAGTACAAAAGAATTACCAAATAAAACACAAACTCTATATTTCAGAAGACAATTATGTAACTTTCAATGAAATGTATGAAAAATATTACAAAAACAGGGGTCTGGGAGGAATGTATGAACTGCTGTGGAGATTCATATGTGAGCAACTTGCAAATGACTTTCTCTCATCACCCAGCCCATTCCTTCAAACCAAACAATAAAACATCCTTCATTGGCACAATGAACAAAACTGATCTCTAAAGAATGAGCTATTACTGCAGTACTAATAATATCCTTCTCCTCCCACTGAGATTGTAAATGATTTAATGAACAGAATAATATTTAAAAAATAATTCCATATGTACATTCTGTAAACAGACCTCAGGCTCTCTTACGGATTTGACCTAAACTGCACTGCAGTACGTCCACAAAAATTAAAACTAAGACAAGTACAAAAGAGAGACATTTATATGCAGCTTCTACAATTAGGGCCCAACATTCAACATGCAGCTCACAGCAAAATTATTTTTGTGCCATATCATGATAGAGTGAGGGTGTTTGCTTTCTTTTGCTATACAGTTTAAACAGGTTTTACTGATAGGTAACTGATGGTTACAAGGTAAACCTCTACATCACAAAATACCTTTGAAACAAAATGGAGGGATAGAAATAATTAAAATTCAATTAATGCTGGATTTGAAAGCTCAGCAAAACTTCAAGGTACCCAAGCTGACTCTAAACCATTAACAAATGTTTTAGAAAGATTGAGTTATGAGATTAGCAGTTGTAACAGGTCACATATTTGTTCAACAGTGAAGTAAACATTTTATTAACAAACCAGTTCTTAAATTACAAAAAGCGTGAAACTCTAATCCAACACCTTGCATTGTGAACTGACTCAGGGGTGTTCCTTAAGTTTTAACAACACACTGCATATTTCGCTAATCTTGCTCTCTGAAAAAATTGTTAACACCATTTATCTGCTGGTATAGGGCCAGATTCCAGTACTTTTACTCATATTGGGTAACACCTGACTCAACGAATAGTTCTGTTAACTTCAACATGACTATTCGTGGTGTGAGGTACTATTCACATGAATAAAAGTATCAAAACCTGGCCCTTAAAGATTTTTATTTTCTAATTTTATGTGCAATTTTCCCCTAAATTTGTCGAGAAACTTCCAACAGACTCTTTAAAAACAGATTGCCTATTGTTTCCCTGCTGGTTAGTGTAATGAAAAATTACTAGATTACCTTAAGGGAAAGATTTTTTCTTTAATCCTTCTTAAAGATACCACCCTATATGCTATAAGCTCCCTGATGGGTTATACTTACATCGTGCATGGAGTCCAGAAGCTTAGTCAATTGGTAGAATCGTTGCCAGCTTTGTCCAGAGTTACTTGGACATTTAGTTACCATCTTCCTTAGTTCTTTGATGTAATTTGCCCTCATTTCTTCAAATGCAGCTTGGCTTTTGAGGCCATCCTTGGGAACTGCCAGTAAAATGACATCTTCGTATTAATATTCATTTTATTGAATATTCTTATATTATCTACATTATAAAGTTAATGGTTGAAGGGTTATAGAAGTGTCTTTGTGTTGTGTGGGAGCATCATAAACATTTTCAAATGATACAAGAGTCCTTTCCAGATCTGTGTATGTGGATTAGTATACGCAGAAGGGTTAAATGGGGCAGGATAGCATCTTGAAAATACAGCACATACTAGCCACCCACTGAAATGATTTTTTTCATTTGACCTAAGCACAAAATGATAGCAGAGGGAGCAGGAATCTTTCTCTAGAATTGAGGACACTACATACCATCACTTGTCTGCTATACTATACTTGGGAGGAGGGGCAACGTATAACACATACTTGCAATTGCTTTGATATTGTACTGTACTCAAATTATAACTGCCAGGTGTGGTAAAGCTACATCAAATAACACATTTCTTAGGCAATCAAACAATGTCGGAAGGTTAGGACATTATTGAGCATGTGTGTGACATCTTAAAGAGAGCCATCATGCTAATGCCGAGCAAGAGTATTTTTTTCTAAATTCACATTCTGCTTAAAGATTTATGTCTGCAGTCTCAATGAAAGCTTTCTTCTTAACACCCAATTAAAATTCTCATCTGTACTAGTGAAGGGCCCATTTCTGAAATTGTACTGAGCATACAGTAGAACCTCAGAGTTATGAACACCTGGGGTATGGAAGTTGTTCAGAACTCTGCAATATTGGTAACTCTGAACAAAACTTTATGGTTGTTCTTTCAAAAGTTGACAACGGAACTTGACTTAATACAGCTTTGAAACTTTACTATGCAGAAGAAAACAGTGCTTTTAATCGTCTTAATTTAAATGAAACAAGCACAGAAACAGTTTCCTTACCCTGTCAAATATTTTTGAACTTTCCATTTTTTTTTTTAGTAGTTTACCTTTAAGCACTGTATTTGCTTTTTGCTTTTTTTGTCTCTGCTGCTGTCTGATTGCATATTTCTTTAAAAACAGATGAGGTTCCAGATGAGATGTGTGGTTGACCGGTCAGTTCGTGACTCTGAGGTTCTACTGTAGTACTGATTTCTCTGAGCAGTTTGACTGACTTCAGTGGAACTAGTCATGGTAACGAGCGTACCATTATTTATTTAGAAACTTCAATCAAATTATTCACTGTAATAGATACTACACCCAGTGGTAAATGTTTGTAGGATCAGACCAAAACTGAATCCTGGACCTGCCCTTGAAAAGGTTACTAATAACTCTCAACAATGTCATGATGTTTCAGTATTCACTAAGTTGTTTAGATATTGTTGAATCACGAAACAAATGTAAAATCTCGGATGTATTAACTCAGGTCTGCAACAAGAAAATTAAGTACTTCAGGTGCAAGAAGTGAGTTTATTTTCTAATAGTTAACTATGGTAGAGGATTACCTAGAATAGGTTTTTTTAAATGTGTGGATGGCATCTCAACAGAGACTATTCTGTGGACACCCTCCCTCTTAATCCCACGGTTCACCTTCTCTCCCACTGTGATCACAGAATGTTCATGTGGCTACTATCAAAATTACTTACATGGAATAGAGTTAGGAATTAATTTAATAGTTTTTTAGCTGCCTATTAAAGCAATTTAGCAGTGGGAAATAAAGAAGAGATCTACAATCATGTGACCAGCAAGGACCCTGTGAAAGACCACCAAGTGCCCTGGGGAGCACAGTATGAGAACTTCTGGTTTAGACAAGCTAACAGGTAATGTGTCAATCTGCAAACCAACAGTAAATAGATTTCTTTACACATTTTCTACTGCAATAATAAACTTGAAGGCACACAACATTCAAAGACTGCTAATACAAAGCAACCATTGTTTTAAATAGATTTGTGAGCAAAGTCTATACCGAATGAATAAACACCAACCACCTTTCTTTGATGGATATACAAATCTCCTTCAGTAATAAATAAAATAGTTACAACATGCTATGGCACTTGCATAAAATGCAAGGACTTAATTATTTCCTCAATATTTACAAATCCATCCAATTAAAAGTAAGAAAATATAACTCCTGTATTTCTAATGGCATTATAAAAATGTGAATTACAGCCATACTTCTATTTCTGTCAAATATTATTTATTTATTTTACTGTTATATTGGAAAATTATTACACCATCATCTCAGCCAGATTATAAAAAGAAGAAATAAGATCACAAAAAAAAAGGAAGTCAAGCAAAACACCAAATTTTGGAGGTCTGCCGAGTGTTTCTAATTTTACTTATTAAATGCAGAAGGGGTACTGGCAATCATCCAAGATTCATGGGTTAGGGAAAAGTAAGAAAACAATTGAGATCTAATGTGTGGTTTCTTCCACATATAAATGGAGTGAAACTTCCTTGATGTGGTCATCATAGAAGTTTCAAAGCAAATAGTACGCTACACGTGACATGATTCAATTAAAAAAAAATAAAAACAAGCATGGTATTTTCTATCACAATATAGTATCAAGGTGAAGTTATTAGAAACTGGAATTATTGCTGATCGCAGAAAATATTCTATATGCATTATCACAATCTTCATTTTCTTTTTATCCTACTTTCTTCCTCCCTATTAAAGTTTCACAATGTAAATAATCAGAATATCCCAAAACTGACCAAAAAAATTGTGTAGATTTTCTAAGGCCATCATTGTCCATTTCAGAATGAACCAAGTAATTTATTTTACCCAACAGGTTCTTGCAATGAACTCCTCAAACCCATTTGTTAATAGTCTAAGAAAAAAGACAGAATAATAAATATCTATCTTACTGAAACAACTACCACCACATTAATTGCTATATGCTATTATTACTTTTCTATAGTTTCTCCCCCTTCACTGCTAATTACAAAAACAAGAGATCCACTTCTTTATTTCTACTCTGTTCTATCGTACATTGGTTCCTATACCACTCTCACAATCATAGATAGTATCTGAGCATGTTCCAGCAGTGCATTAAACAGCATAACTAATATTTCTCACTTGTGGTTTGTTCTTTCTTTCTTGTTCCCAGGGAGAGAATTGTCTTGTGTCCCTGTTGAGGGGAGGAGAGAGACTGTCGGGTGCTGCTGAGCTCCACTTGGCACTGGACCTGGGAGGGGTTCTAGTATGGAGCTGGCTAAGAGCCGAAAGGTATGTTGACACTGCAGCTGGGTGAGCCTCCCATCCCAGGCAGGCAGACTTATGCTAGCGGGTTTGAACTAGCATGCTAAAAGTAGCAGCACGGACATTGTATCTTGGCCTGGAACTTGGGTTCTCACACCTATGAGGCTGGGAGGGCTTGAGATCCCAATTTCTAGCCCAAGCCACAATGTCCACACTGCTATTTTTAGTGCATGAGCTCAAGCCCAGGTCAGGAGGCTCACTCCTAGCTGCAATGTAGACAAACCCAAAGTGGCCTCTGACCCAGGTCAGAGCAGCCCTAGGCTTGCTCTCAGCTGCCAACAGTAGTAGAAACCAGGAAGAGCTGAAGTGCAGTGGTGCTCTGACCATACCTCATTTTCTCCCTTTATTCCCCTTCCACCAGCTCTGTGCCACGTGGGGACTCCCCTTGTGATGAGGAAATTCCTGCCTGATTAATTCAGCGAAGTCACAGTGCAGTATCTTGATATCACAGAGCACCAAAGAAAGATATGATAACATAAACAATCCTTTTTTGATGTGACTGAATGAATCAGACAAAAAAAGGAGGCTGATTACACAGAAGAAAGTTTCTGTTTGCAAAACAGATGGGAATCCGCACTGATGGGGAAGGAAATACAGAAAATGTTCATGCTGTGTTAATGTTTGTTTTATAGACATTTGTAATGGGGTTATAGTTCTTTAAATGTTTCTGTTATAAGACAAGAAGTAGATTAAAAAAAGATGAATTATTAAACATTGTTGTCAACAACACTGAGGACATGTCTACACTGCCTCAGTTTGGACTGTGGTGGTGTGAACTGGAGTGTACACCAAAGTGCTACTCTGTAACTTTCCCACATGGACACTGCGGGCATGAATTTAAGGGTCCCAAGTTTGCACCAGTGTAGTCCTCTTCAAACAGGGCTACACTCACACCGACTAGGGACCTTTTAGGGTGCCTACAGTGTCCACACTGGGGAGTTATAGTGCAGCACTGCAGTTCACTCCCCTGTAGTCTGAACAGCAGAGGCATGTAGACATGCCCTGTGATGCAATTCTTTATTATAAAAAGTCTCTGAAACTCTAGCCCCAGTTTAAGAAAAAAGCAATACAATTTAGTACACTTTCAGTGTAATATACTATAGCATACAACACACTCAATTACTTGATACTAACACTAGACTCATTTTGTCAAGGACGTGCACATTTTGATCTTGATGATGCTTTTAAGTCACTTGTGTTGAGGACAATGTGTACTCAGTGAGTCAGAATTCCTCCCAGTTCCCCAGCATGCAGGGGAGCAGGTTTTCTGCTACTCCTTTTCATGAGAAGCAGCATGCTCCCTTGGTGTGCTTGGCCAGGTCTGTTGGTTCATGCATAGAGGAACAGGGCTATGGCCTTGCTTCCATTCCACCCCCTGCAGGATATAGGACATCCTGAACAGAAAGAGCAGTCCCTGCTGTAATGGGGAGCAGGAACTGCAGTTGTGCTCTGAGGCTATGCAGCAGGGATGCTCAGGTTCCTTGTTTTCCACCCCTTATAGAATCATAGAAGTGTAGGACTGGAAAGGACCTTGAAAGGTCATTGAGTCCAGTCCCCTGCCTTCACAGCAGGACCAAGTATCATCCCTGACAGATTTTTTTCCCCAGATCCCTAAATGACCCCCTCAAGGATTGAACTCACAAGCCTGGGTTTAGCAGGCCAGTGCTCAAACCTCTGAGCTAAGGCCCGCCCCCCCTTCTCTTGCAAACCTCCAGGACAAAATTTGCTTCCTCTTTTGTTACTTTTGTAGTTAAATGTCTTGTATCATTTTGTGACGTACAGGTGCTAAATCAATATGCCATCTAACAATTAGCAAGTATACCGGGTAACAATAGGAGCTAACCTACCTGTGCTTAACAGCAGCAAAACTTTCATTATGGTATATTCTTCAAAGCTAATCTGCAAGCGAACAAACTGCAGGCTGATCTGGTGCATCCCCTGGCACAGTTCAAACATTGCAGACTGGCGCATCCTCTCCCTACAAAGGAAAAACAGAACAGCAGCATGTGAGAATGCAAATGCATAACAAAATCCAGAATGGCAACCCATGCATCAGGGAAGTCAAAGTGCAACCTTCCAGTGAAACACAGCCAACTTCAATAAAGCTTGCAGCTCGTTCTTGTTTAGCAACAGATTTATGGCCTACAGAGACTGTATGTGCTCCATCTTATTGTGAGTGGCAACCTCTTCTATGTGCTACAGGAATGAGAAAACACAGAATGCAGCCACTTTAAAACTAGCTGAACTTTCCAAATCCTGATCACTGCATTCTGGCCTTGGAGGACCCAGAACAGAGTCCTTTTAAGCTGAGAGGCCCGTCACGATCTAGGCACAGAAGTCAATTTCACGGAACCAGGAATTTTTGTTAACTGGGCTTACTATAGGTAAGCTGGGGTAATACTATATTAGTTAGGGTTACCATTTGTCCGGATTCCCCCGGACATGTCCGGATTTTTGAACTAAAAATAGCGTCCGGGGGGAATTTGTTAATGTCCGGACTTCCCTCCCTCCCCCCCCATGCAGAGCACTCGCGGCTAACAGGGCAGCCGGATGGTGCTACTTACATGGGGCTCCGACAGCGAGAGAGAGTCCCTCCTCCACTTCCCCTTCCCCCCCTGCAGCATAGCTCACTCCCTCCCTCCCTCCCTCCCTGCATTCGCCTCCGGCAATCTGGAGCTCCTCCCCCACTGCTGCCCAGCCTGCCGGGAGAACAGCTCAGACTCAGCAAGCTCCCAGAGAGCCCCCTAGGCGAACCGAAGGCCAACAACAAGGGAGTCAGGGGGCAGGAGAAGGGGCAGGGAGGTTCTGGAGGTGGCAGT